CCAATTTAGATTCATAAATTAAAAATTAAAAATCTAAATTGAATTATTGTAAATTTCGATAAAATCAAGAATAATGGGCTTTAATCAAGATAAAATTTATTTAAATACCAATTTTTTTAAAAAAATCGATTAATTCAAAATAACAAATCTTTAATCAAAATAATGTTTGTGCATAAATTACAAGTTATAAAAGTTTTATTAATTTTATTATCCATAATCAACACATCTACAGCATACTCTATTAATAAAAGAAATGTTACCCTCCGGGGTGATCCTTCGTATCCTACACATTATGTAGATAATTTGTATCGTGGGGATCTTAGATCAATGGATCATATTTGCCTCCACTGGTGGGAACTATGTATCTCGTTGGACAGAATGCCGTTCCGTAAAAGATTTTGATGGTACAGACTCAATAATAACAGGGTATAGCACCCCATGGTGGGCAGCAGGATATTATTTCGAATCATATGACTATTTCTACGGTCAATATTTTAAAACTGATTATGTAATGTGGTATTATGACAATGCCGGTCAAAAACATTGCAATGATCTTCATTACCATATTAAGGGCTTCTATTTGAAATTGAGTTATGATCATAATACGGACGGGTGTTATTGGGATAAAGACCAAGGTTGATATAAAAATATTATTTGTAGCTCAGAATATAATCTATCTTCTACAAGAAGATAGATATTATAATTTTGAAGAGGAATATAAACTTTATAAGTTATATCTTAATTTGTAATCATGCTTATTAAGTAAAAAGTTATATTCATAACACCACGTTATATAACCAATATAATGCTACTAGCTCTCAGGCCCGGGTAATACCCAGGGCGCGGTCTTAATTTTTTTATAGTTTTTAAGTTTTTTTAAATTTTTTAATTTTTAGCTCTTAATTTTAGATATTATTCTAGATATAAGATCCCAAATCTTTTATATTTTTTAATTTGTAGTTTTAGCTTAATAGAAAATTTTAAAAGAGTTTATTAATAACATTTACTAAAAGCATTATTATTAAAATAAAAAATTAATTATAAATAATTTATTATTAAATTAAAATAAAAAATTTTAAATCTTAAATCTAAACCTAGACCTAATTCTAATCTTACTCTAATCTTAACATTAACTCTAAACCTTAATACTAACATTAATTTTAATTTTTTACTTTTATATAGAATTTTTTATAAATTTTAATATAAGTTTTTTATTAATAAAATTTTATATATTACTATTATTTTTCAAATTTTGCTAATTAGTTCTGTCTTATCTAAAATAATCATTAATTTACTAATTTATTTCTTTAATATCAATATTTTTTTCTATTAAGATTAATCTTGTTTTAATAAAGTCAGAATCTTAATAATTTGTATTGATATTATTAATAATCTTATATTAATTTTTCAAGATTTTATCTTTATTATCTAAGATTATATCATCAAGTAATTTTATAAAATTATTACCAAGATCAGAATCTACTTGTATTTTTTACTAATTTTTAATAAAACATTATTTTTTTTGTTTAATATTATTATATTATATTAATTATTAATTTTGTATTTTAAAAAATATCTAGACAGTATACTAGTGTACTTTGTGCACCTATAGTAAAACTAAGCTAGCAATATAAATTAATATTAGATTAGATTAGAATTAAGATTAGATTTAGGATTAGGGTAATATAAAATTTCAAGAGAAATATTTTGAATATATTTCACAATAGGCTATCTAGTTAAAATTTCAAGATATTAGCAATTAGGGTTCCGCATTTGATTTGATTTGATTTGATTTGATTCAAATATTTGATTTCAAATCAAATTCAAATATCAATT